TAAATCTTACAACTTTTCCTAATGGATGAATAGAAGAGAAAGAGAGAAGGCTTAATGATAATAGTATATAATTAGGAGGTGCACAGAAGATATTAAACCTACTTGACATGTGATATGCCTGGTATGTAGGAACTATTTCAGCACTTATAATGTTGCCTAGAAAGACATCTTGTAACATAATCAAATACGAACCAATGGCTTCCTAATCTCAGATTACAGTTTGAAATGTGATACAAAAGGAATTTTCTCACCTGACAACAAAAGAAACTTTGGTTATTTGGTAGTCTTTTAAGGAATCTTGTGAAGTGGTACTGATAAAAAACAATATAGCAGGTCTCAATGAGGGCAAATAATTCATAATTCCTCAAAGAGGCAATAAAAAGCTTGTGCTATGTTTTACTAAGATTTTTTACCACTGTGCCCTAAAAGATCTGACCAGAACAATTGTAGAGGAGGAAAAGTTTATGTGATGACTCACAGAGTTCTCAGTCCATAGAAACCAGGATCCATTCTTCAGGGCCCATGGTAAGGCAGAACATCATGGAGGAAGAATGTGGTACCGCAAGGTGGCTCACATGATGATCAGAAAGCAGAGAGAGACTCCACTTGCCAGATACAAATATATACCCCAAATCCAGGCCCCAACTCCTCCAGGAACATTCTACCTGCCTTCAATTACAATTCAATCAATTAATTAATGGATTAAGATCCTGGTAACCCAATCATTTCTTCTCTGAACCTTTTTGCATTGCCTTTCACATGTGAGCTTTTGGGGAACACCTCACATCCAGACTACAACATTCCACCCCTGGTCCCCAAAAGCTTACACTCATCTAACAATGCAAAATACATTAAGTTCATAACCAAGAGTCCCCATAGCCTCAATAGATAAAATCACAGATTGCTGGCCTTTCTTAATCTCTAGGATCTCCACTGCAGCTTTGGCTTCTTCTTCACATCTCTACACTTTACACAGTCAAAGGGTGCCTGCAGGGACTCTGACCCTGCTGCATTTTGCCTGACCTCCCAGGCCTTCCTCTGAAATCTTGGTGGAAGCCTAAATGAGCCCTTAACTCCAGAGTCCTGCATTCTTGAAGAACCAGCACCATGTGGTTGACATCAAGGTCTGCCTCCATCTCCAGCAGTAGCCAGGCCTCTAGGGACCCTGGCTGCAACCTCTGAGTGCCCGGATAGCTGAGCATGTCAAAAAAACTTCCTAGGCCCGCTTGTGCAAGAAGGGTACCCCACTAGTCTCTTCTAATGAGATAGATATGATCTTGCTAATTCTTTAGATGCCCTCAGGCCATCTTACTGTCTCTGTGCAAAGTCTTTAGCATTTCTTTAGTGGTAATAATGTCCTTAACAACTACAACTTCCTGAGCCCCAGTTTTACTCTCACCTTTCAAGCCCAAGTTTTTCAACTCTTTAGGCTCTGCCTTCTGCTCCTGAATATCACAATAAACTTGGCAAAAAGCCACCAGCAATACCCATGCCACTTCCTAAATGATATGCTGCCTAAAAATTTCTTCCTCCAGCTTAAGAGATCCTTCACTTTAAAAATTGGCCACAGAGTCTCTTTTTTAAAATTTTTTGTACCAGGGATTGAACTCAGGGGAGCTTAACTATTGAACAACATCCCTATCCTTTATTTAATTTTTAAAAGTTTTTTAAATTTTGAGACAGGGTCTTGCTAAATTGTTAGGGCCTCCATAAGATTCTGAGGATGGTCTTGAATTTACAATCTTCCTGCCTCCTGAGACACTGAGATTACAGGCATGCACTACCACACCTGGCAAGAGTCTTATTTTTATTTATGGATCTGTATGGAAATCAGTATGCCAGGGGATGAAAGCAAATTTAAGAAGCTGCCTGCTCTTTTTTAGGAAACTGGTACTTCAAATTTTGAACCTCAGTGCATTATATGATTTGTAATAAAGTCAAAATACTGCAAACAAATTTATGAATTAGGTACACTGGTACCCCACTATTATATTAGTGTTAGTATTATAAAAAGAACTCCCCAGTAATATTTTATAAGTGCCACACATAAATAAATACATATTTGGTATAATATAGATAAAATATCACTTTGTACTTGATATACTATTTTAAGCAAATAGAGTTCAGCTACCAATTGTAAAATTTGTTCAGACTCTAAATCATACCCTTTCATGCAACACTAGCATAATCAATGCATGATTTGGGTTTTAGTATTTTTGTCTTCTAGACACAACTATTGTTATTTAAACAAAGTGATCATTTACAGACACTCCTTCTTTCTTGTAGTTCAAATATTCTATACTTATGAAACTAAAGACTATCCTGATAATTGTGAATATTTTCTGATATGTTATGCATTCTATCATCAGTACTTTCAGAGTGTTCCCCCTAAGGATTCTTGAGTATTGCTGGATTCTCACTCATCAGCACATATTCTACCACTAGTAACTGTTCATTCCATGAGCAAGAATCACCCCCCATTGTTATCCCTTTTACATGTTCCCTTTATTTATAAGCCCTCCTTGTCTTATTAGGAAGTGACTTGCCTTTTTCTAGCCTTTTCAAACCATGGAAAAGCTAAATGACTTTTTTTTCTCACATCGCAAAATCTTAGACTGAAAATTTAACTAGAAAAATGAGGCAGAGATAAAAATAGTAGATGGGCCACTGGGTCTGGTTTCAGATAATGTGCCATTGGAATAAGTTTTAATTATTCAGTAATGTTGCAGAGAACTACCTGTAATCTGTCCAAAAGTTTCTCTGTTGACTGAAAAACACCTGTAACATAAATTTGTCTTGAGGATCAGTTAATTCTCATATGTGGCCAACTGCCTGCCAGGCTTCTTAGCCTGCTTAGTCTCCAACTTTGGTTCTAGAGATCATTTTATCCAATTGGCTAACTTGCCTTCAGACCTGGGCATGTGAAACCCCTTAAAAGGATACTTTAAAGATGAGACAACATACTTAAAAGAATATAAAATCAGAGAAGAGACATGCTAATTTTAAGCAATGATTCATAGATAGGGGCCAGCTTCCTGTTGCCAATCTCCTGATTTTTCAAATTGTAAGAGATCATTTTCTGTATTATTCTGGAAAATGGTTGTTGAGAGATATATTGGAGTCAGATGGACTCGAGTTTGAATCCTGGGTCCATAACTATTAATTTTATTGCCATAAGGATTTCTTCACATTTCTGAGCCTCCGTTTCTTATTGGATAAACTGAAGATGACAATCTCTCAAAGCATTGACATGCCATGAGGATTTGTGATAGATGATTGATTTGAAACACAGGCACAAAATCTGTTCACATGATAGGCATACAGGTAATGATAGTTCTTTTCACTTCTCTCACTATTTTCCACTCCATGACTAATCCCATATCTAGATTTAAATTCTGCTACTATATAACCACTATGGATATCAGTACAGAAGTTCCTGAAAAGGCATGGAACTACCATATTACCAGCTACATCACTCCTTGATGTGTCTCCTAAAGAAATAAAGTCTTCATACTAATAGTTATATATGCATATGCAGGTTTACAGCAGCAAAATTCACAATAGACAAATTATGGAACCAGCCTAGGTGTCCATCAATAGATGAATAGATAAAGAAAATTTGGTATATATACACAATGGAGTTTTACTCAGCCATAAAGAAAAGTAGATATACTTATAACATTTTCAGGAAAACAGATGCAACTTGAGACGATCATGTCAAGTGAAATAAGCCAATCACCAAAGGATGAGGGTCATGTTTTCTCATAGATGGAAGTTAAAGAGGAAAAAGGAAAAAGAAGGCAGAGGTCGGGAGTTTCGTGAAAATCAAAAGGAGATAAGAAGAGGAAAAGAACCAGGGACCGGATGGTAGGAAACAGAGGATAGAAGTGCTGGGAGTGATATTGGCCAAATTACATTATTATATTGGGTATATGTACACATCTCATCATATGTACAACTTTAGTGCACCAATAAAAATAATGTAGAAAGAAAAAAATCTACTACTAACACTTTAGAGTGCCAGGGATTCCTGGCTTCAAGGAGATATAACCACACATGGAATATTTTAGCAAATAGGTAACTACTACTCTTACAAGTCTGCAAAGCAGCCTTTATTCCTTAAACAACAAAGAAGATTCTTATTCGAAGAGCCACAAACTGAAGGAAAAAGATGCTTATTTGGCCACCTTGCATGAAAGTGGCTTGAGAGGGCAGCACATAATAACTATAATTATGTTATAAACTTCATCAGTATTTCAGGATGTATCTGTTAAGGCACCCTGAACATTACTGAATTCCCATTGACCAATGTCTATCACTCAACTGTTGTTTCCAGTCTTTGGCTACAAATTCTCTTTTAGAATGCTATAAAAATGTTACAAAGATTGGCTGAAGGAATCATACCACAGACCAATGTAGACTGAAATTACTGATAAATTATCAGTTATATTTATATCATCAATTATTGTCTATATAAATGTCCACTCCTTAATTCTCAACAATTACCACTACCAATAGGGACTGGGCACTCAGCAACTCAGTATTCTTGGCTTTTCTTACCTCCTCTGTAGATGTAGAGCTTGGGTTAAACCATCCATCTTAGCTGACACATCATTCAAACAGGCAGAAGCAGTATGGGAATCTACCAGCACACAAGACGAAGAGAGAGGGAGCTAAAGAAACTTATTTCTGAGAATCTCCCTGCACAGAATTCCACTTGTATGAGCTCAAGGCTTCTCTCTCGTGGTGTTCTACACTCAGAACTCAGGTAACTCTCCCCAGCTGGCAGTTCCCTCTCTCTGGAATGAAAGATAAAAGTCAGAAAACAACAGAAGATCCTTAGGGGAATGAGATTTAAGTGAGATGGAAAAGGAAGGAGAGGTGGACTCGGAATATCCTGGACAAGGCTCTCATTCCTGGGATTTTGAAGGAAAAGGAACTAAGTGAACTAGTTTCCAGGACAACCTGCTGTTGGGGAGAGGGGGGGTTGGGGCAAGGAAATGGGTGACCTGTGGTTACTCCTGCTCCTGCCACTGTCCCTGGAAGCCCTCCATGGGGTCAAAGGCTGTTTGGAGTGTGACCCCAAATTCATAGAGGATATTAGGACCGTGCTGACAAATCTGGTACCCTCAGAAGTCCCTGGCCGAAATCAACTGCTTGAACGGCAGTTTAAGGAGACGATCCATTTAAGCTCCAAGGTCTCCCACGGGAACAAGATGCTTCGGGTATTGGGTGAGGGAAGCATGAGTCCCTGAGAGTTTTGGGGGGGTTAATGGGAGAAGGGAGGCAGGGGAGAGAACACCTGGGGCCACACAATTTCCTCCACAGATGTAATTATTCCCACGCATGTATCTTCTCTCTTCCCCTCCAGCTGTTCAAAAGGTTGTCAAGTTGAGAACATGGCTGAAGAACGAATTTTATAGACTGGGCAATGAAACGTGGAAAGGTGAGGTACTAATTCATTGTCAAAAGTTCATACTGCTCAAGTAAGTCTGAGGAAATTGGGGCAAACAAGGCAACAGTGAGAATTAAATTATGACAAGAAGAGCCATTGGAATTTCTGATACCTCCCCCATTCCCTCTTAGGTGTCTTTATCTTTCAAGGCAAGCTTCTTGAGATCCGCCAAAAACTGGAATCCGAAGTGAAAGAAACATTAACGGCCTTCTCTGAAGTTGGTAATGAAACACTTCCATTCAACCACACTGCAATTATGTGAAGGAAGTGGAAAGGAGGGGTGAGAAGAGCCAAGAGGGTTCAGATGGCAGCCATGAGAATGGTTGGAGGGCAGCCAGAACTTAATGGGTAAACAAAGACTACGTGGGTATAAGTAAACTCTAAGTTGATGATAAACTCATTAGAACTTTCTGATTCTCTTTTAGCTTGTTCTGAAGATTGCAGTGAGTACAGTACATGTGACACCGTGAGATTTCTGCCCTTGTTCTGTATGGCTCTGTCTCTCCCATCTGTTAACACTAAGAACCTAGTTCCTGGAGCTTTTGTTACAAGGGGGAATGTCAATAGTATCTGATAATAAAAATCTAGCTTAGGAAATCAAGGACACTTCACAGATTAAGGATGTACCCAGAAGCTTCCTAAAGCTATAGTTTACAACCCAGTACCCCATTATAAGCGAAGGCATTATTTTCCCTATTGCTTCCCCAGAGATATAACTTAATTTATAGGTTTCAATGCTTTAAGAAACTTGATTATAAGGGAAAGAAAGAATTCAGAGCAATGAAACCTAATTGTCCTGGGAATGCCTGAGATCTAATCCATACTTGATGTTTGACCGAAGAAATTTCTTGTTGACATCCTGCTTCTGATTATTTTTTTTCTTTTTATCAGTTGTGACTGAAGGTCCTGTCCTTGATTGTTGGACTTGTCTTCGCATCACCACCCGGTGCTTCAGAGGAGAATATTGTAGAGGTGACATAAACTGTGGTGTGGTAATACGAGGTGCTAGGGATCAAGGAATTGGGTTTTCCATTGATTTATTCAAAGTTTGTTGAGTACTTTCTCCATGGAAAATGTTACCAAATAAGAGCTAAAATAAATTTGCACCCATATGACTAACAGTTCTGAGCCAATTAAAGGGCTGGAAAATGAAAGGCTAGACGAGAGGTGGAGAAATTAGTCTAGGGACATCATCTAGGGGACATCAAGGGCAAAAATTTTGTAAAACCTAGGCATCTAAAATCAAGTCAGAAAGATCAAGAATGGTGACAAAGTAGCGATCATGGCAAACTGAGTTAAGACTCAATTCTGGGTAAAGGTCCCTGGTTACAATTTCTTCTTGTCCAAAACTTACTTTATTTTTTTTCCCTTTCTCCTTCCAGAAGAGGATCCTAGGAAGGCTGAACAGCGAGAGATTACATTATTTCTTGTATTGCTGGCAGAAGCTGGAATATTGGCAAGTGCTGTGTTACTGTGAGTTTTCCTCCCTCCAAATAAACATGGGTCAAGCCTTCCTTTGCCAGAGAGTTCACCCAAACTTCCTCCTTCCCCAGTGGAAAAAGGGGAAAGAAGTCATTTCAAAATCTGGGAAATGATACTGGCAGGAATGAAATGGATGGAAGTTTGATGGGATAATAGTTGGAACATAAGGAAATGGAAGAGAAGTATCCAGAAAAGAAGAAAACACTATCTAATTGTTTTAAAGAGTGGGGCTACTGACATTGAAGTTGGGATATCTTCTTTATCTAGATTCTATATGTGTGTCTCTCATCGGAGGAAAATGCAGACAATACGAAAGACGCTAAAAAAATATTTGGAGAAGAAACTTGAAGAATTAGTGGGGTCTGCAGATGAGGAAGAGAGAAAAGATTCTGGACCTAGAAAATAAATGCACAGACTCAAACAGGAGCTCTTTCATAATTCTCTTGAGTGTTGACTCAGAGTCGAAAACTGGAACTTGAGCTGCTTTGTGTTCATAAAGTCATAGTATTTTAAAACTGAAATAGAACTTAGGGTTTCTCTAGCGAAGACCCTAACTGATATTATGAGGCAATGGACACAGTGAGAGGACAAGTGATTTACCTGGAGTTGTACAGAAGTAACACTGATATGTTGCAATGCACACAAAAGATAAAATGCTGCATGATAATAAAGAATGCATTGTTGGTAACTCTCATTGATGGTATTAATTAGAGCAACTGATCTTTGAAAGGCTGGTTTCCATTTCTTTCTTTGTTTTGTTGTTACTGTTTCCAGTTACTGAACCTGATATTTATCAGTAGGTCCAATGTGAATGACTTCCTTAATTATAATATTTAATCTTTAACAGGATATCAAACACACACACACACACACACACACACACAAAATCAGTTCAAATATTAGTCCTGAGTAGCTAAAGTTTGTCCCAATCATTTTCTCCTGAATCTGTGTTGCAAGAAGTTGGATATTAGTTTTGTGTTCTTTTAGATGTTTCCACTGAACACTTTTTATATGCATAGCACCCTAATGAAAGCTTTACATGAGTTATGTGATGGAATTCTCCCAAAGACCTTGTGAGTCATATCACTGCCATCTCCATTTTAGGGCTGAGGAAACAGAAATATCTCAGACTACTCAACTCTAAAATGCATGACTTTCTACTCTATTTTGTTTCATTGTACTCTGGAAGCTTATTTCAGAAGGTAAACCCCACAGATTGCCAGTGGGATGCATTTTCAGGAGTCCTGAATCTGTGGCAAGTCTTTCACACAAGGTAGACTTGAGTAATTGCTTATTGCCATTGTATTTTATTGAGATATTGAATGCATGACAACTTGCTGGGGGAGAATTTGAACATTGATCTCTTTTAGGTGATACATTTGAAATCCTTGATACAAATTCCCCAATGAAAGAGTTGTGTGACACCTATTATTTCCCAAAGACTTACAGTTCTTCTTCCCCAAAACCTTATTGTGATATATTAATTTTATTCATGGACTTAACTATCTTTATACAACTTTTTATTATAGATAATTATATAAATGGGCAACAAACTTGTTAGGTTTTGTGACATTTTGAGTTTTAGTGCAGCATTTAATTTTACTTTCAATGTATATTTTATTTTATATTTTTAAGTTTTATGACATGCTTTGATATAAACTGAAATGATTACTGCAGTTAGGTCAGCTAATCTACTGGTCTGGTGGCCTCTTGCCTCTCCTGTGCTGTTCCACTCTTACCACTTCAGTCTAGGAATCCTTGACTAACAATTTAGGATGTAGCTTTCATTAGTTTGATTTAAGTCTAAACAAAAGTGAATGGGTAGACAAAAATGTGCACACAAACATTTATACTTGAAATTTTTGGAATCAAAAAAATCGTGCAAACTTTTCTACATGTCTATTTTTACACTTAAATACTTTGTGAAGTTTAAAAATCTAGTCTTCCGGAGGCAATTTTGATGTGCAATGTTTTTAGACAGTAGTGTTGCCTTGAGAACATTAAATCTCAAATGCCTAAATGAATTTTCTATAATATTTCAAAATAAGTTAGGTGGATCTTCATCATTAATGTGGTCTACTTACACTCTTGGCCCCAGAAAATATTAGGCTGTCCACAAAAAAGAGTATAAAACATATTGGAAAAATAGCCAGGCAAATATCACAAGAAAGCAAAACTACTCCTCATTGAAAACTTACTCAACCCTATTAATGATCTCATTGTATCACCTTCTGGCATGAAGTCTTATGTAATGGAGGCAAGAAAAGGATAGTGGAAGTAGAATTAAAGAAAGAAATTAAACATATAATTAAATATTAAACATAAAACATGTTTTGTGTCAAGAAGTAAAAGGGAATTAAAGAATTAAAAAACGAAAGGGAATAATGGATTTAAATTAAAGCAATAGTCACCAAGGTCACACACACACACACACACACATGTCACCTTTCATTATAAAATATTGAGGTGTGACCCTATGACCCTTAAGGAATGAAAATAGAATATATAGCATGTACATTTTGAAAGGGAGAAAGAGTTTCAATAAAATTCTACTGTCAAATGGAAGCAAGTAAGGAGGAAAAACAAAGTAAAGCACAAGTCAAAAGAACACACAATAATAAACAAATATTAGCAAAGTAGATGCATTGGTCAGAAGATAAGCTGTTAGGTTGGATATTTGTTAACCTAATTATGAGCTTTCTATAAGAGACAAACCTAAAATAAGACAGGCTCACCATGAAAATAAAAGAACTGAATATCTAGCAAATCCTAGTCAAAAGAAAGCAGGTATTGCCTTATTGATAGAATTCATAAATTAAGCCTAAAACACTGAACAAGAATTAAGAAGGGTATGATGATAAAAGTAGTAAGTAGACCAGAAAATATAACAAAAATAAAATTTTATGAGTCTAACAATTGTTTTGAGATTTTAAAAAGGGAAACATTTTATATAATTTCCACAATCATGATAGGACAGTTTAATGTACCTCTCTTAGAATCTGATGAATCCAAAGAAAAAATGTTACATGGTTAAGATCTGAAGAACACAATAAATGACCTTAAACATGAGGTATTAAACCTCAGAACTAGCTTATAGATTTTCTTCTTACTAATGTATTTGGAACATTTATAAAAATTTACGAGGACATAGGTTGGCCAACACTAGCTAGCTTCTTCCTGAACTAGGTCCCTGTCTTCCTAGTCACATGATAAGACTATATTTCCAGTCTCCCCTGCATTCATGTGGGCAATGTAAGTGAATTCCAACCACAGAAAAGTAGTGCAACTGATGAAAATATTTCCAAGCTTGTCACATACAAATATATGGAACAATTCTCCAGCCCCTCACCTGTCAGTGGGTTAGCACTATACAGAAATATCTTACAATATTAAATGCACTTCTTATTTGGAGCATTTTCATGTGATTAAAGAATAAAAGTTTATTTCATTAGACGTTTGAGGTTTTAGAGCAAGTATTAACTTATCTAATACATAGGCCAAAAAGAAAATGTCAACAAATACTGAAGAATTAATATTATGGAGAGCAATTATTCAGACTATGGGCAATAAAATTAAAAATTAACAACAAAGAATAAAAAAATATTTCACATGTTGAGAAAATAAAAATCTTATTTCTAAATAATTCATGAAATAAAGATGAAACTACAAAGCCAATTATTAAATACTTAAAAATAAACTGCAATGAAAATATTGCCTAAAAAATCTTGTGAAGTGTGGCAGTATATGCATTTCAAAATATAGCTTTCTAATCATATATCAAAAAGAGAAAAAAATATATTTAAAAATTCAAACAGGGAATTCAACTAAGCAGCTAGGATAAGAACAAAGTAAACTCAAAAATACACAAAGAGGGAACATTCGATTACATCATAAATAAAGTATAAAGCAAAAAATACAAAGATAATACCAACTGCTAATTTAAAAATGTTTTTGTTCACACTAATCAATTTTTTGAAAAATATGCATAAATATAAATGGAACTAAACTACAGATATATAGAAATATATTTTAAACAAATGTAGGGCTATAATGTTTAAAATTTGAATATAAGGGATACTTTTAATACAATATATATTATCAATATTGACATAGAAAAAGCAAAAATGTCAACATTATTTAAAACAGTATAAAAATAGTATAAACATAAATATTGAGAACAAATGCATGCTTAAGGAAAGTTCTAGATTGCAGTTCAATGTGTTGACATTGATTTTATCCCAGTGCTTAAACTGGTTTCTTCCTAACTTGTCTCTAGAGCTTGTATACCTAAGTAAATAATACAGAAAAACAAGTGAATTTAATAAAAATTGTCAGGTTTAGTTTTGAAAACACTTAGTATGGGTTCTTTAAAGATAGCAAGAGTGATGTGTTTTGGCTTACATATATGAACATATAGCAAGACTATCAAGCTAAAGTATTCGACAGAAGATGAAATAAAATAAGTAGCAAAGTTGAGAATAGAAGTGGGATTGCCCAAGCAGAGAATAGAGAAGTAATAAAGACCAAGGACTAGAAGATACTATAGAGCTTCACATTATAATAACAATGTAAAATATAACTCTAGGCAGGCTAGAGAGAGAGTAGCCAAAATATGCTAGGAAGATACCTGTAGTATTTATGAACTCAGAAATTGAGGCTGTACTATATTAACTTACTACTTTGAAAGCCTTTATTTGAGTTGCTGATTTTCAGTTGAATTCCTATCACTATTGAGTAGTGTTTTTCAATTGGGTGGCTTTCTATGTGCTCAATTTATTATAACTGCTTTATATTGTAGATCCAAAAGACAATCTATATTCTTCATAAAGTCATCACTAGGAAAATAGGCTTGTTTTCTGTGTTTATGTGTTTCTAATATAATACAGAGAAGATGATCTAATTAGACAATGTGTTCATCTACCAGGAAAGGTCTTATGATACTTCTGTTTTTCAAATGTAAACATGATAAAAATTAGTTGCTTACAATTCTAAATTTAAGCTTAAGCTAATAGTTAACATAACAAAACAAGGATATGTAAAAATATCCTCCCAACAAGCAAATGCTCAACCAAAATTTCATTTAGAGCAATAAACAATACAAATCATTTCATTACTGGAGCAATTACATTTTAAGAGCCAACACATACTCCAATGTCCTGATGTCAACCCTGCAGGAAACTAGTTAATAACATTTCTCTAGAATATACAAATCAGTAGGGGAAGATATTTCTCTAATAGCCTTGGATCTTGGCACTGATGGTACAATTTTTGACACTCCATCATTCTTGGAGACAATTTATTATGAATGAATATTCTCAGTGTTTTGCTTAGTTCAGGAGACAATGAACAGAGATGAGTTTTCACTCAGCTCTCCTGAGTGAAATTTTAATAATTTATTTATTGTAG